AAAAAAAAAAAAAAAAAAAGACTACCATTCCAAAATACCTGGAAATGGTAGAGGTAGGAAATCTGTCCTCCTCCTGTCTCTGCTTTTCATTATATTTGTTTTCTTTCTTGCTTAAATTTTTAAATGTTCAATTTTCACTTGTTCACAGACAAATCTGACCGCCCTGTCTGCCGACATTTTGCCAAAAAGGGCCACTGTCGATATGAGGACCTCTGTGCCTTCTACCACCCAGGCGTCAATGGACCTCCCCTGTGAGACTGTGCCTTCCCATCCAGGCTGGAAGGAGCTCTCTGTGACCTAGCAGCAATGCATTTCCCTGTAGCCCTGTGATGGCTACTTCCAACACCCTCAGTCAGTGACACACCCACCCCATCCACCACCTCCCCAATTTGGGGTCCACAGTTGTGTTGTGTCACTGGTGCGAGGTGTATGCGCTTTCTTCTCATCCAGCCTGTAGAGACTCGCCTTCGGGACCCATCTTTGCTCCCTTCAGTTGCCTCCTGGATCTTTCCCGTCATCAAATGACTGCTGAACAGGAAACTTCTTTGGTGCTGTTTCTTGTGCATCTCTCCACCTGCTCCCCAGTATTGACCTCAATACCTGAGAGCCCTGGAGTGGTTTCCTACCATTCCCTTCTTCTAGCTGCTTGTTTTAAGTCATTTTTATGTGACATCTCCTACCCCCAATGTTGTCAGCTGCTTGTGAAACTCTGCCAGGTTGTCTAACCTGGGGTCAAGTTTGGGTGACTGGTGCAGAGTTACTTCCTACAAGGCCACTCCCTACTTTTGGATTTCGTAGTTTCTGTCAGTAGCATGATCCCCACCACTATGGTCTGTGATCACTGTGCTTTGTGAAACTGTGCATCCTCTTGTAGCCTTTCTCAGTGTCCATGGCATTTTTGTGACTTCCCAACACTAGAATAAGTTTTTCTGCCAAAATGAGTGAGGATCTTGGTGCCCTCTAGACTTTCCCACCTCCCAACATGGGAGAATTGTGAACTTTCCATCAAACTGCCTCCCTGGCCCTCTCCATTCTCCTGTTGGTTATTCTGGGTCTGACACAGGCCCTTAAGATGTCATGTAAAGCCTCCAGTGGCTTTATCCTACCTAGATCCCTTCTAGCCCATTTTAGTTAGACTGTCATTGTGAATGCACCAGTCATTTCATTTGAATTCTGTGAATCTCCACCTTGCCTATGTTTGGGTGGAACCTGGACAGTACTGTTGCCCTCTTCCAACCCTCTCCCCCTACATCCTGGTACTGGTTGTTTTCTGTGAAAACAGTAGTGAACAGGTTCCGTTTTGAACTGACCCTGAGGAAATGAGTCAGGAGCTGTGCTGGCAAGAGGGAGGGGATGAGAGTTGTTGGAGAACTGAGAATGAGGTTTTCTTTTTCTTTTTAACATTTTTTTTTTATATTAGTAATAAACGCAGTGGAAACCAGCATTTTCTTTAATCCCTGTGTTCTAGTCATCTCTGGAGATGCAGATGAAGGTGTTCTTACCTGGTGGAGTCAGCTCATTCTAGTTGAATGAGCTAACTAGAATGTTCATACATTCCCCATCAGCAGTTCATATACACTAGTGATGGGGAATAATAAAACTTAAGGTTCTTTCAGGCTGAAAGAACCAATGGAGGTTCCGTTAGCCTGTAGGCATCAATCAGACCAAGCTGCCTTATGTTCAAGGGCAAAGTTTTGTAGGAAAAAGGAAAAGCCAGGTGTCCCTGGAGTTATTTTTAAACATTTTAGTTTATAGAGTTTGTGTTTATGAAGTGGTTAATGATGGAGTCTTTCAGCAACAATTTGCAGAGTGTCTGTGGGCCAGGCAATATTCTAAGCACTAGAGCTGACAGCCAAAGCCAATTTATTTAAAATGTACAGGGAAGCAGTTTATCAAATAATCACAAATAGCATGTGAAGTTAAACCTGTCAAAAGTGGTGGGAAGAAGACAGGGTGAAAGGAAAGTGTGTAATAAAGGGAGTCATGGAAGGAGATGCAGCTGAGACATGCTCTGAAGGATAAACAGGAGGTGGGGTGGGAGAGGGGAGTCAAGGCAAAGGTCTTTGCTAAAAGACCAAGGGGAAGAGGAGCTAAGAAACCTAGGGACAGTGGGTGGTGACACAGAAGAAAGAGGAGTCAGACCACTTAGGGCCTTGGAGAACATGAAAATGTGGCTCTTTTCTAAGAATAGAAGTCTTTGAGGAATTCTAGACAGGTGAGTATCATGGCTTAGCTTGGCTTTTCAAAAAAATCAACTTGTACAGAGAGGGCCAACCTTGGACCCAGAAGTTAGTTAGAAGCTACTGGCTACTTCAGTAGTACAACTGAGCCATGGTGATGAAACAGACTTGGGTAGTAGAGGTGGAGAAAAGTGGGCATTTGAAAATTACAGGTCAAAACAAAGTATCAGATTTCTCCAGGTAGTTCTGGCTTATGTAACTGCCATTTAAAAAGAAATGTATTGGGCCAGGAGCAGTGGCTCACGCCTGTAATCCCAGCACTTTGAAAGGCCAAGGCGGGCAGGTTACGAGATCAGGTGTTCAAGACCAGCCTGACCAACATGGTGAAACCCCTCAGGTCTCTACTAAAAATACAAAAATTAGCCAGGCATGGTGGCACATACCTGTCATCACAGCTACTTGGGAGGCTGAGGCAGGAGAACTGCTTAAACCCAGGAGGCAGAGGTTGCAGTGAGCTAAGATCTCACCACTGCACTCCAGCCTGAGAGACACAGCGAGACTGTCTCAAAAAAAAAAAAAATATATATATATATATATATATATATACACACACACATATATTGGCTAGGCACAGTGGCTCATGCCTATAACTCCAGCACTTTTGGGAGGCTGAGGCAGGAGGACTGCTTGAGCTCACGAGTTCAAGACCTGCCTGGGCAACAGCAAGATCTTCACAGTTTAAAGTGAAGATCTTGTCTCTACTAAAAATAAATTAGCCAGGAGTGGTGGCACACAGCTGTAGTCCCAGCTACTCAGGAGGCTGAGACAGGGGGATCACTTGAGCCCAGTAAGTCAAGGCTGTAGTGACCCATGATCGTGCCACTGCACTCTAGCCTGGGCAACAGAGTGAGACCCTGTCTCAAATAAATAAATAAAAATTGTACAAATGTGCCAGAAGAAAATAAGCAGAATGCCACCAGGCCTGGTGGTGTGTGCCTGTAGTCCTAGCTAGTTGGAGGCTGAGGTGGGAGGATCCTTTGAGGTTACAGTGAGCTATGATTACATCACTGCACTCCAGCTTGGATGACAGAGCAAGATCCTGGCTCAAAAAAAAAAA